TTTTCACATTTATTTAGGCGAGCACTTCAAGTTTCTATTCAATTACCTGCAATATTAGGTCATGGCTTTGCTCTGAGCCATCTATCGTGGCTTTTGTGCCATACGCTCTGCTATTAAGTACCATACCAGTCTCAAAGCCTCACACAAAGCAGAACATTCCTTAAATACATTCCAGCACACAAGCACAACACGACAAGCTAAACCAGAATGCCACGCAAGCGCGACCATATAATATATGAAACTGCGTCAAACAAAATGATACTTACGAACCATTTAGAGTTATCGAGATAAGCTTAAAGTTGGCCAATTGATGTTCGCACTTAACCGAAACTGTGACATTTATTGTAAACTTCCATCGAAAAAACTGTAAAACTACCCTTATTCAATTGCTGTTAACAAGAGCATTTAAATAGCACTTGAATTTTAAAATTGAAAAATTATTGAGCTCACAACACTCCTAAATGTATCGTCATTTCGAGGGGCCATAAATGGAGATAATAATTTTGAGCGACCACAACTTATTCAGTTTTAAGCTTCTGTAGCTTATAAGGGCTCGAGAGATAGAGGAGACGCCCCGCTTTTGTTTAAAGTGCTTAAATCGCAATTCGTACTTAGGTTCGTAAGTATCATTTTGTTTTGGGTGGTCTCATATGGGACCATTTTACGGATCACCCTAAGGGAGCGCTCAAGTTTCCTAGCGTTCGATGCAATCACTGCGGCGACACTGTCTCGGCATCCGTCGGCAGCATGACTACACATATCGCCCCTCACCCGTTGAACACAAACCATACAGTATGTTCCGTGTTACTAATCATTTTAAACATGTAACCACTTGAAAAAAAAAACTTTTTAAACGTTTTAAAATGGGAGCCGCTGGAGTCCAGTATTATAATTTGACGGTTGCAGGATTGAAAGATAAATTTCGTTTCTAACTTGGCTATTTCCGATCGAGCAAAGTTAAGCGACTGTCATTTTTGGTTTTCCGAGAAGCCGTCGGGGACGAGGAGGCATGCGCGTGCGGGAAGGTTCTCCACGTCCTGTCACACGTCACGAGTGCTATTAGTATTATGGAGCCGCCTCTACCAAGCGCTGAACAAGTTGAAGAGTCGTCTGAGCAGGGAGAAGAGGACACTGGCGCTGCGAGTGACGGCGTGCACGAAAGCCGTGAAGATCTAAATGAATTGACTGTGCAGAACGATGGTGAGCAGGCGTCTAATGACGAGGAGAGTAAAGATAACGACGTATCTGTGACTGTGGAGGCGCCTGCTACGTGGCATATGGATTGGGATGCGTGGCAAGCACACTTTTTTCGCTCTACTGTAAGCGATCCTAAATAAATTTGACGTAATTTCACAGAATAACTCCATCCAATTCGACGACTTCAGCTGCGGCGTCTTCGTTTGCTGGATGTTCACCCGCCAGACAACATCCGTACCCACTGAGGATATGAGCGACGCTTCGCTTCCAAGACGGCGGTTCGAGCTGCTCTGCTACTACTTTCAGGTCGACTACTTCCGGTGAAGGCTGCTGCAACTGCTTCAACGGGGGGGGGGCGTCCTACGCCATGGTGCGTCGACAAGAATATGGACGAGGGTGAGGTGGCCCCAACCCAAGTTGCAGACAAGTAAGTGTTCTGTGGTAGCTTTGCATCCTAACGTCGAATACATGTAGCTTTGCATTAAGATTCGTATTTATAAAGCACACGTCTTTGAGGCAGAAATTTTACATGGAATAAAACAAGAATAATCCTGGACATTCGTGAAATTATAGAAGTACAATACTTCCATCCATGATTCAATCACGTCTCAAACAGGATTAATCTTGCAAGGTTGATAGCCACACGCTACGAATCTTCCGCGTCCTCGGTGAATCGTCTCAGATCTTCCCATATGGCTGCTCATCTAAGATGAATTTCCACAGACAGGATTAATCCTGTCCTAAATTACGTACGTTACCAGAGTTACAGTTCTCCCCTCCCAAATCCGTTCTGGTACTGAGAGCCTTCTTGACATTAATCACGCCATCCCAGAGAAACTCGCTTGGCTTTTTGTGCACGCCTTTTATGCTAATTCGGCCCTTTGGCAGGGATTTCGGCGCCATTTTGGCAATGGCATACCATCCAACTAATGAGCGAAGAGCCGGTATTTTAGCGTTTCCACACGTATGCCATTTGAGAAATGATTATCCTGATCTCGGATTTCTGCGTTTCATTGGCTAACACTTCTTTCTTGCGATTGAGTGGGTGTGCCCTTTGAGATAGGAATGTCGGTATATTATATATAAAAGGCGGCTGTTGGAGACCAGAACTATAATTCTGGAAACTTGCACGTACAATATATTATATTGTACCTGCAAGCAGTGCCTTATGTTTGGATGGATTTACCGCGCAAACATTGTTTGCGCTGTTTTGACAAGACATCCCAATTTGATTGTACAGCCACGGGTGCGGCTGAACCAGAATTGCGGCTTCAAAACTACAGTTGTGGCCGCTTTACTGTAAACCATCGTGGACCACTGTTTTATAAACTCGCATTATCGTAAATACACCGGTAGGAGAGTATGTGTCCTACTAGGAGTCCTAAAGTGTCCTATTGTCCTAAAACCTGGGATAAAAAAACTAGCAATCGGCTCATAAACAAACGAATATTTAGGACACCACAATGAGTTTGAGAACGAAACAAGCCGGGCTCCGCGTGTCCTATTTGGACACTCGACAACTAGACACTTAGTCTGTCCTATTAGGACAGACATCAGCTCAGACCACTGTCCTATTACGAGAACACCAAACCCAACATGCACTGTCCTATCAGGGCAACGCTACTAGCTTCCTACTGTCTTATCAATACAGTTCAACTATAATAATTTTTCAACGAAAATAACACAACAGCAATTACACAAGGGAAAATTGTATTAGTAGGTTCGCACCTTCATTCTATCTGCATCTACTCAAAGCTTTTGTAGGCTTCAGGAATCTCTAACTCGCTAGTGGGGCATGCGGAAGGGCTGTCTGGCGGGTTAAGCATCCTCGATATGCCGGATATAGTGTGCAGCCCTACGCTTGGTGCCTTCTATAAAGGCTAAAAGGCCAGGATGTGTACCGATTCGGGACGCAAAGTCACGATTGTACTTCTTTAATGGATTGTTGGTATGGTTGATCACACCAACCCCAACACCCATCATCTCCTGAACATTCGCGTCATACCTTTCCATCCAAGCCTTCCAAAAATACTTCCAGAATGCATTCCACTTTGTGTTTGCTCCATTTTCGTCGACAATACTGCGAACGTATCTAACACCCTAAAGCAATTGCAAAAAAATGAGATCCAGAATATATTAAGCTAACATCAAAAAGGTCAGATTCAAGTTGTAAATAGGTATGATCAAAATTTAATCGTCTATACCTTTTTTGCGATTTGGTCCACAGCGATGGCAACAAGCGGGTCAAGTTTGCCGGGGCTGAGCGCGCTCTCGATTTGGCAGTCTGGAATGCGTAGATCGACCATTTTACGACGTAGTGCCTGTTTCCAGTGAAACATGCACTACGACTACATCACCCGTACACTCTATGCGTGTCTGCTGCGCTATAGATACGGCAGGTGTGCATGCAATGATAGTGAGCGTGGCGTCGTCAGCAGTGTGGTGGCGCTTGATACCGTCGTACATCTCTTGCCAGACGACTGGTGGAGGGTTAGCCATGTCGCTGACTACGTCGCTGTAGCTCTAGGCGCATTTCGCTGCGCACATCAATGGCTTGTGGCACCGTCTCGTCGCACGTCTGTAGAGCCCCACCTGCTACAGCTGCACCTGATCGGACAGTTATATTAGCCTTGCATCCTTTGCGAAACCTCTTGCAGACGTAGTAAACAGTGCTTGTTTCAGGACACGAGCGCTTGATGCAGAAGAAGTATCCACGATGGTCCATGGTGCTTCGCTGCCGTGAAATGGCTGGTACAGCATTCTGCATGAACAGCGAGCGGGTCATGAACGTATAAACTACCACAAACAATAATACCACCCTATCAGCACGACAAGAAGGAGGTGTGTAAAGGTATTGAGCTAAAATTGAATCCACCGGAGTACTAATAAAAAAAAATCCAGTTCATTTCAATATTTGAAATTGGCGCGCTTTTGGCGATCTTTTTCGCCTTGCCCACGTATGGACGTGTAGTTTAACCGACCTTCATATTTAAACTTACCCCGCCGTTGCTAAGCTACCAAATCCGCCATGCACCGCAATCCTACAAAGCGGCTACGCCTTACCTGGGCCGAGAAGGTGGCGCATTGATGTGGTGCGAGGGTACGTGGTCGAAGGTGAGCGCGACAACCATTCAACACTGTAGGCAAATTTCGGGTTTAGTTAACAAAGCGAGCATCAATTACTTGCTTTGTTAATATAAATCAATACAGGCTGTTTTTCGCTCCAAACAACTTTGAGCAATGTCGTTTAATACAGTACAGACTGTCATGTATTTGCTATTCACGCCGAGTACATGTACTGCAGTGTGCCTCAGGACAATAAGTAACGCTAATGTGAGTATTAAGTAACTGTTATGTAAATTTACGAAGATAGTCCGGAAAAAAGTCAATATTTGAGTTTTAGGACAATCTGGAGGACACAAATTATTATTCTGTAAGCGAAGATGAGTCGCTTTTTAGGACGTGTGCTGGGCCTATCCTAACCCACCACTTGCTATTAATACTTAAAACTCCAGCAAATGTAACCCTTTAAGACCTGAGGTCGTCTACTAGTAAATATTAAAGAGTCGCCATCAGGGACTTTAAGGCTTAGTTTCTTAAGGGCTAATCTCGTTTTGCCAGAGTCCCTGCCATCAGGGACGTTAAGGCTTAGATCCTTAAGGGCTAATCTCGTTTTGCCAAAATCGCTGCAACTTGCAAGGCTCAATACGCTGTAAAAATCAAAGCTCCAGAAAATACTTCTACTACTGGTACCTTGCAAAAAAAATCCGAAAAAGAGTGCAAATTCTACTCGAGTTCAATCATTACTTGACCTGCACCGAGTAGGTCGACACCACAAATTTAGCATTCTTGCCCTGGAAAGGCTCGGTACCAGCCTCGAGCTTCTGCAAGAATTGCGTCTGGGGGAGCGTGTTGTTAGCTGGAAGTTCGTCGAAGAACTGCTTCAGATCGGCTGTAAAGCTCTTAGCAGTCTTTTTGGCGACGTACGAGAACACCTTGACCTTCTTGTTCATGCCCTAGTATAACTCGACACCGCCCAGAGTGACGGTATTAATGGGCTTTCCACTGTCAGTCAGTGGCCAGGCACCACCGAGAGCGGCCAGCCACACCATCAGTTCGAGCTCAATTTCTCCGGTTGCAGACGAGCTCGTGAACAGATCATAGGCAACATTAGCGGTGATGTTGCCGTCGTAGGTGTACTCGTACTTCATCGTCGTAGGCATCGAGGTGATGGCAGACACTTGCTTGGGGCTAAACTTGAGCGCAGCATTGGGAAACGACTTGACCTGCCACGAATCTCCGGTCCAGTTGAAACTGGTCCGCCATGACACCGATGAGCTGGTGCTGCCGGTCACCTCCGTGCACTGCTTGCCAGTCTTGTCGTTATCCTGACCCCAGAGTTTGTTGTACACAGTGTAGTCTCCAACGACCTTAAGGTCATCGCGACCGCAGTACTCCTGGGCGTTGATAGACGAGGCTACAGCGGCGACGGCGAGCAGGGATCAGAAACTTCATGGTGCTTTGGTCGGTGTTTGAGGTGTTTGAGGCACGAGGCGAATTTGAAAATGTGTCGACTCATAGACCCTCGAATTCGTTTAGCTGTGTCTGAATCAAACTCAGACTCACCCCATCCCAGAACGCTTCCTCCGCACGTTTGGGGTTCATCTGCTGGCAGCAGTGCCCATGCGATTGAACTTTCGATTTCGAGGCTCGAGAGCATACACAACTGCGACGAGTATGAGGCTATCGCTGGTTTACGTATCACACGCTAACCAGGTACATGTACCGCCTTACCCCTCTCATAACCGACGTTTTCTCATTGCCGACAGACCATATTAGCCAATAGAAACCTGAATGGAGTTCACATGTTGTGAGCTTCTGCCCGCACTAAAACGCTATACCGACACCGCTAAAACGGAGCTGACACTCACTTGTGATTCTGCTTCGTGTCGACATCGAAGATCTTGTATTTCCAGGTCTGTTATGGTGCGTCAGTGCACCACTGGTACGGGTAAGAAACCAAAAACTTACAGCCGCACGTCATTTACCTACAAGCACAAGCTGGAAGTGCTTGTTTTTTTGGACGTAATTCATGACACTGATAAAGCGATAGAGAAGTGTGGTGTAGTGATTTTTCCGTAGTTGCGGATTATCACCCGTCGACAAAGACGTGACACCGCCCAAGTTGTTCAAGCGACGAACCCTCGGTCAGGTGATGTCCGGAGACGCCAAGGTGCAAGGGACTCGACGGCGTCACCTCCGAACGTTCAACGAGTATTGGATACGGGCATATGTCACTGAATCCAGGCTGTCCTTATTATTAATAATGGACTGGCCGGATTCGCATTCAGCGGACCATCTACGGTACGAACCCTCAGTGGCGGTTGGGATGAGTTCGCAGAAGACTCAGCGACCCTTGGAAGGCACTTTCACCGTCTGGGACAGGGCGCGGACCGTTAAAGATGCTCATGCGACGGTGCAGACGACGCTTGGCATGCAAGAAGATCCATAACGGATCATTGTTCACTTGATATTTGTATACTTGATTAGGACTTCTTATTTGGAATAGACCCGAAAGGGTAAGCTTAAATACAGAACAGAATTTCCACTCAAGCACACAGAGCGACGTCCGGCTTCAAGGTAAGCGTCAGGTCAAGCTTGTTTGAGTGTGTTATGCCTGTCGGTGAACTCGAAGCTCTGTAGCGAGGGTTCATCCGGCAAGGCCAAGAGACTTTGTGTATTGGCCGATTATTATCGGGAGGTTTTACGTGACGGCTTATTGTTGCCTATTTGCACGACTGGGAGTGCTTGAATTGCCTCCCTTTAATTTCTTCCAGCCGAGTGTTGAACACTCGGTGATCTCGTAAAAGGCTTACCCGTGCCTGGTACCCTTCCGCTGTTGGGACCACGAGGATTCAAAACACCTGCTAGCTTTGCTCGTGCTAGTAGCGTGTTCTTATTTTACTGGTTGGCCTATATAAGTAGTTTACAAGGTCCAGTTTGTCCCGGTGCAAGGGCAGAACTGGGTTCTTCAGGTCCGCCCGAACGATCGTTTACTATCCTAGTAGACGTATTGTTGTGGGAACATCCTAACTACATCTGTAGCTAGAGTTCACGTGGGATTTCCAACACCACAACTGGTGCCGCGACCCGGGAACAGATTGTGACCATTGTGAACTGTTTGTATGGCCTTCCAGTTTACGAGCTACCAAGAGAAGAAGAACAAGAAAAATACAAGAAATATGGCGAAAGGACAATTGACGGTACCAGTTACGCCTGCCAAGTCTGGCGGGGCTCGCAACGAGAGTTCAAGCCCGGCTGCGCGCTTTGCAGCCGCCACCGAGCTTTCAGTGAGCTTCGACGACGAAGCGGCCATCGGTCCTGACGCCCACGATTATGAAGATTACGAAGACAAGACGCCGGCTCCAGAGCCAGGCGCAGCGACGCCGGAGACGGCCACGCTATCATCGGGGCTGAGCGGGGCGACCAGGTCCCTTTCGAGGAACCTCGCCGACGAGCTCGATGATGTTGCGGGACCAGAACCAGCCTACGATGATTATGACGATGGGACCGAGGGTTCTAAACCTTCGGTGGCAAGTGCAAAGCATTCAGCACTGCTGAAGGCACCTCGCCCACCTATCAACGGTGATACACCAGCCGCCAAGCGCGTTTTCGACCGCGTACAAGCGCTGATGCAGAATGATGAGTGGATGCAGCTGTTCAAGCCCATCCCCAAGAAAAAGGCCGACTGGCCTGCGCTTGCGCAGGAACTTCAATACCCAGTCAACTCGGTTTCGACTAGTCAAGTTGCCGAGGATTCAGTCTCGCTACTGTTGTCGCTGGGGTTCGAGAACGAGACGTACCCATCGACGATGTCGCTCCAGGATTGGAGTCCACATGAAGCCGGAGCTGCTCTCCAGAAATGGAAGAAGAAGCTTCGGAAGGCGTTTGGCGCCGTTGGCATCAATGCTGGAAAGCAGCCTGTGAGTCGACCGATGATTCAAGATGAAGATCCGTCTAAGATTCCACTGCCGCCGACGCCCCAACGACTCGTTCGTACTCCTCCGACCAAGCGTGGAGCTGAGCATGGTGCCTTTGGCACTACCGAAGCTTCACCGTACTTTCAAGACTCACACATGGTTACGCCACGTTCGGAGAGCCGTATGCAACGTATTTACGCAAGTAACGAGGATTCGTTCGGTCGCCGAGGCGGTGCGCGAGCTCCCAAAGGTGGTGCCGGACGTCGTCAAGTCGACAGCGATGGTTCGTCCAGTGAGGATGACATTTTGGTGCGGACATTCGACGAGGAAGATCCTCAACTCGAGTTGATGCGTCAGATGAATGAGCTAGCGACGCTGAACGACGTGGACCCAACACCGAGGATTGAAATGGCTTTGCACCGACCGCTGGATCGCATCACGCCGTTCTCAGGCTCTCGCAACAAGAGCGAGAACTGTATGCAGTGGCTCCGTGGGTTCGTCTATGAAATGACTGGAACCCACACAGATGCCGATAAATGGTGCATTCCATTTGAGCTAAGTCTCCGGGACGGAGCCATTCATTGGTTCCGTCAACTTCCGAGGAAGACGAAGCGCAAGTGGAAGCTGCTGAGCGACGCGTTCATCCGCTACTACTGCTCGCAGTTCACGCAGACGGCACTGTCGCGTTACTACTCCGCCAAGCGGGAACGTAATGAACATCTGTGCGACTACATAAACAGGCTGAATGGCTATGCTCGGACCGCCCGTCTACACTTCGAGAAGAGTGGTCGCGACGCGAAAGAACACGTACAGCAGTTCCTGGCAACATGCGATGATGACAAGCTGGCGGAGAGTCTCTACCACGCTCGAGTCGCCGACATTCACGAGCTCGAAGAGATCGTCGAAGATGTTCTCAAGGGCAAGGAGAGGATGGCCAAGCGTGACAGTGAGTACCGATACTCTAAGAGTCGTGATACGCGACGCGACGATGGATTTGCCCGCAACAACCGGCGTGATGACCGTCGCCGCGATGACAACCGAAACAAACCAAGAGTGACGCTCATTGAAGCCACAGTTGATGACCTACTAGCTGAATTAGAAGGTCGTGAAGCTGCTCAAGGGGGCACCGAGTATTCAAACGAAGATCCGAACGCTTACAAAGATGTCCAAGACGAGTACAACGACTTTCAGCCCGATAATACGGATGGTGATTTCTCATTGGATGAAAACGACCGATACCTCGCCGCTGCTAACGAAAATGAACGCCGTGCAGCTGCTGAAGGCACCTACGCACGTTCAGACAACCGTCAACCGCGTGGAACGTGCCTGATCGCGAGAATGGCTTCAATCAAGCTCGCCGAAGTAGTGACCGTGGGTTCAATCAGGACCAACGCGGTCGACGTGACTCCAACCGCGACAACCGACGCCCACAGTACGGACCATGCGCGGTGTGCGGTGGCATGAGTCACTCCGCTCACTACTGTAACAAGCGATGCAAGTTCTGCAAGCAGCTCCACGATGCTGGACTATGCGAACTTTTCCGCAACTTCCAAGACCTTGCCAAATTCGTGCGCACTAAAGGCACGAAGGAGGAACTCCCGCCAGAGCTCAAGGCCGTCGTTCAAGAACGTCATTTAAACTAGGCAGCCCGCCAACTACAACTGGGTTGGTCCCTATCGGGCTGCCACAGTTAACTGAGCCTTCAATGGAAGCAGAGTGTATCTTTGCTTTCATGGGGCAGAGTGAATGGCCTGATAATTACGTAACAAGTGTGAACGCGACGGAAAATGAAAAGGAGATGAGTAGAATCCTCGGTGGAGGTGTTGGAGAGAGAGTGGAGTGTGCTGATGCTGATGAGGGCACCAGCGAGGGTTCGTTCGGCTTGGTTTCGAGTGCAGCACGAGACGAGCCCAAGGGTCACTCCAAGATGATGAAGTTGAACCCTGGCGAGAGACAGGGGTGGTGGTCGGCCAAGAAATTCGACCGACGGATCCGAATGAGAGCTCTGGTGCAAGGCGCTGTGAACGACCAGCGAACGAGGATCCTCCTCAACACAGGAGCGAACGTTTGTGTGATCACTGTCGCCTTTGCCAAGAAGTTGCGACTCCGAGATGTACCCGATCACGGACGCCGCATTGACATTCAAGGAATTAACGAAGGCAAGGTGTCTACGACGCGACGAGCGTGCGTCAAGATTACGCTCGGATGGGAGATGGTGTACGAGTTCGAGATGTGGGTAATGGCGCATAGTGCAGGCGTCGACGTGGTACTCGGGACCGACTTTATGATCCCAGCTGAGATCCGGTTGGACCTGTTTCAACGCGCGGCGCAATTACCGCACAAACGTCAAATCCCACTGATTAAGACCAAGAATATGATCGATAGCGAGAAATACGGCTCCCATGTTAACGCCGGGCCACCCGAACGTTTGGACATTCAAGCGCACGAGTGGCGAGAATATCGACTAGCGAAGCATCAAGTCGGGCTGGAAGAACACGTACTGTGGGTTCGTCGAACGAACAAGCTAATCCCGTCAGTGACGAGGTTTCGACGTGGACGGCCTCAGAGCATTCGATTGACCAACGTGTCTGATCGAACTGTGTACCTACCAGCACACGACTCGATCGCGATGTGGATTCCAGATGGGGATTTGCCACGAGGTGACGGCTATGTGCGTCTGGAGTC